GAGCCTGGTGATGAACCGGATCAAGTTTTGCCAATACATAAACAACCGATTTATTCAACAGCTCATAGAACTGAGCTCAAATCAACTTCCTAAAAGTATTCAACATAAACTCCAATACAAAACCCATTCAACATAAGTTGTGGGTATTTCAACATAAAAAAATCCACAATTTTTAAACATTTCTTAAATAACATAAGCCATGACTGTATGCTTATTGTCAAATAATATAGCTAGGAATTATACCTCCTTTTCAACATGACTCAGTACATCCTCCAAATGAAATTCCAGTTCAAAATTGCACTTGCAACAAAAGTGCATGCATGCTGTCTTCAATGTGGAAAACTTGAATTCATTTTCTGATTACTATTTTACTGTTATGTTCAGTGAGGTTTTCAGTCATATTTTAATATATTGCATGTCTGCAACTTGACAACTAATTATAGGCCATGAATACACACAATCTACCTCATAACTTGCATATAACACCTTACTTTATCTTTAAAAAAATAATTTGAGCTCAAATCTTTATAGCACATTATCAAATTCCATTTCTTTTTTAAAAGCACTAAAAAGCAGAGAAAGGAAAAAGAATGAAAGTAAGTAAATGATGGCCTTTATCCCATTTTAATAAATAATTGCTTGGAAAGTTATCTGCATGATTTCATGAAAATTCATGATTTCAGTTGCTTTATTCAAAATCTTTCTTAATGAATCCTGAAATGCTTTTAAAGTCAGTGCCAACTGATGTATCACATAATGAATTCATTCCACCATGGAGATTTTTTTTAAACAAATCTAAAATCTAGATTTTATTTCCATTATGGAACAGAAACTCCTTTTTAAGTGAATCCAAAACTTCACTCTGTCAAAACACTAGCAGTTGGGAACATTATAGGCTATCAATTGATTCATCAAGTTAAATTGAAAATAAATCACATACTGCAGATTTTTTTCTTGTACAGCTGAATCTTTGTTATCATCATCTATATATTGTTCTTGGAATAGTGCTACCTGATAGTGGAATCGATGAAATTATTTTGCGATACACTTCCTAATATACAGTTTCTACTATTTTAACAACATACAATTTGATCAATTTTTTCCAATTGTAAGCATTTTACGCTTTTTCTCTGGTTTTGCTATTTTATTGCTGCAACATAAGAAGATTCCAAAACTCTATTATTTGGTATATGAAATGCCTTTATTGAATGCGACTTCATCCTCCATATACATATATAACTATAAAAAAACAGTGTTTAAATATTATCCTGTTGACCATGACACTATCATCAAGCAGGATATAAATTAGCTGCTATTGCTGGATTTTTCTTTCTGAACATGATTAAAATTTGGGACCTGCCTTCTACAAATCAGCAAGCAGTAGATTATTTTTAAGATCATGGCATCCTACCACAAAAGGAAAAAAAAATAGTGTTTAAATGGACACGGTATGGTCAGTTGAATATGGAATAGAGAACAGTAATAGATTAGAACAATTACCTGTGAAAGGTATGTGCTCATGGTGTTCAAAACAGAGCTTTTGGTAAAATTGGAGAGTTTAGCAAAATGGTAAAAATCGACGAAAACCTTTTAATGAAGTGTAAAGAAACATAAATTGAATACTGATTGTTTATTAAATAAAGAGATGTCGATTCCTTTAGAATTTCGTACGTATGATTAATGCAACTTAAAGCGGGATCTTGGTTAACTTTGATGATTTGATGGTAGTCAACTTCCACTGTTAATGAGACAATATGTAAGAACCAAAAAACGTTTTTGTCCTAGTGTTGAGAATGAACACTCTGAATATGTCGTTTCAGCTTTATTGGTTTCATAGAAATATCAGAAAAATTACACAAGTAACACATTGAGGTCTTCCTTCTAAATTAATGTTAATGATTGTGAACCATATTGAATATAAGATTATCAAATCTTCTTTACTTAGTACTAATGATGGGCTATTATCAGAGATGAATCATCAGAGAAGAGTTATATGAGGTCCAAAAGTTAAATGGACTCATTAATTAATTTAAAAAATATAATATACATATGCTATATTGTAAAATGAGGGGCCCCACATAAAGCTCAGGTGAAGTGGGTCCTTCTTTGTACTTCTGTCATATCCTTCAATATAACATTAAAAAATGTGATAAAAAATATGTTGAAGAAACTGGACATGGGCAGTGATAATAAATGTTGCAGGAGGAACGCACAGAAATGAAATAAATAATAATAACAAAAAGAATACAAAATAAAGATGACCCCACTGTTTTGAGGAAAAAGAAAATGACCAAGGAAAGGTCTCAATAGCAAGAGTGTGTACAAAATTATATGGTTAAAAGAATGAATAGAGTACAAAGTCCAAAATCTGGATGTCTAATAATTAGAATGGCCAATTATTAAAACCATCTATGAATTTTCTTTCATTATTTCCCTCCCCCCCTTTTTTTGAGAAATTTTTGTTCGTGATATAGAGTAGGAAGACTATATCACTCAAGAAAAAGCTAGATAGACTAATCGATTTTACTCCCAGTCTGCTTAGATTTCTTTTGCCAAGTAACATCATTATCAGTGACAGTGCTAAATTATCCTGCATAGTGTTTCACCTTTATACACTTCACAGCCAGTGAACAACATTTTCGTTAACAGCCTCAGAGTCCTGTGGAAGGGGCAATACTTTCCTGTCTCATTTAGCTCTCTGATCATTAAATGAAGCTTGAAGACCCATGTTTATTGTAGGGGGGGAATGTTGTACACACAGCTTTGCCTTTGAATCCACAGTTTGTAGCTGAGGAACAAAAAAGGAACTACAATAATGAAAACGTATTAAACTTTAGAATGTTCAATATGTTACATATACTAAAAGAATCGAGTTTTGTTGTGCAACATAATGAAATACAGCACTATTACTGTCTTTTGCACATGTATGTTCACATCAAATAGTTCAATTTTATTCTGAGCACACCAACAGCTAAGTGGGCAAGACCACCAAGCACTGGCAGTTCAACTTGAAATCAAATCCTAGTGAAAGGTTGATTGCTTGCCCATTTTCATGATCTTTCCAGCATATAATATGCATATGACCCAGCTGCCATCAGAAAGCCTTCCAAATGTAAGACAGCTCTCAAGTGCTTCGACAGAATCGATTAACACAAAAATTGTAGATTTGATTTAATTTTGTGTTTACCACGCTTCCTACTCTCATTAGTGAGATGTAATCAAAGCTTTTATGCTAAAAAGTTCTTACTATAATAATGGTCCTAAAGTGGAAGAGTAATGATGATAATAGAGCTCAATCTGATAGTAATTATTACAATTAGGATGGTGAATGATTTTTTACTTCTATTCTTCAAAGTAGTACAAATATACTCAAAATCCAGAACTGTTGAGGTCCAGAATTGTTGGAATTCTGGTAATTCTGGATTCCAGAAAATTCTGGATCTTAGGTCACAGTTAAAATCTAGTAAAATGACATGCAGAAATTCTGAAATTAAAAATATGAAATAATGAAGCATTTATGACTTTAAAGTAATCAAAATTTTTATATATATATATAAATAGCTTAGTATTTATTTGTTTGTTCTAGCAAACATTTCTCTTAATGTAAAACATATAATGTATGTAGTTTAAGCTACTTCATTTTTGTGTAACGTTCTCTTTAATTTTATATATATACATAATTTCTTGTACAGTCAGAAAGTTCCAATGCTCAAATCCTGTAATTGCTGTGCTGAAAATTCTCCCTAATCTGTTGATTGATATCTTTTAATTCTCAGAAATTTATTTCTCACTTCTATCACTATCAGGAACAGTATTTTATGGATTTAAAACCATATTACAGATTTTGCCACTCATTAGCTGATTTCTGATTAAGGCATTGTCATTGCAATTGAAAACATCTGTTATATCATCTTTATTTACTATAACTTCTCTACATTTCTTCACAAATTTCATTAATTGAAAAATTGAACCTTTTATGCCGAAATTGAATTAGTGCTATTTTCTTGGCCCAAGGCCATTAAACAAGACAAGTACCAAGTATGCTTTTATTTTACAGATCCTGCTACAGCTCCAAAATAAGATCTTTTCAATATAATCAAAAACTCAAACTTTGATAAGAAAGTTGTAATAACAATAGCATGCAAAAAATAATAAGTTGGATGAAATCAGTTAAGGAAGAGTGCAATCTGCTATATTAACTGAATTTCTTCCTAATCTAATTCTTACTTCCTCCCACTTTTAAGCCAATAAAAGAAAACCAGTGTTAGCCACATCCCAAACAAATATGTATTCAGCTATTGTTTATGTCAGATAAAAAATATTAATAACCCCCTCCGCAACCATTCAAGGGCCAAATGTGTTGTGATGGCTAACATCATGCATTGTCATTAACCGCAGTGATGCCCCAACCAGCAAGTGTTGAAAGCGACATACAGGAATCTTATTTAGTTGAGAAAAAATTTATTTTATGACATACCTGCGTTTTTTTTTTTTTTTTTTTTTTTTTGGATATTCCCCATTCGTAAATTTTGAAAAAAAAAAAAAAAAAAAAAAAAATAATTAAGAGAACTGCTGATGGTACACAGATTTGTACATTGGATGTCCAGATTTTGGTTTTGATCTGTACTCTACTATATAAACTACTTTCCTTCTTTATACACTAACAGTTTATAGTTTAGGTTAGCATTAAACTTTTACAGATGGGAGAGAGAGTGTATGTACCATGTATTTTGCAATATGTAAAAATATGGATGTTTTAAAAGATTAAAATCATAATCAAAAAAATTAAATAATACTTTATTAATTAATTAATAAACTTGCCGATTGTTATTTAATGCTATTTTTACTTATTTTGAACACAAGTTTCATTCACCTTTTTCTGTTAGACTGTCCGACTCTATAGTTCATAAATTATATATATAGACATGCTACACTTTTAAATTACTTTATATTTGATGCTGTTTTACACAAATTAAATATACAAGCCAATAATTACATACTTTATTTTCTTTGGTTTCTTCTCATCACTAACTTCATTTCTTTTCATGTATTTTGATGCATTCTCATCCTCTGGGTCAAATCTCATCAACTGACGTTTCCTAGAAAAATTAATTCAGTATTAATAGTACAAACTTTGTTCATTGAATAGTTTCTGATATATTTTAATATTACATACTGCTGCATGTAGAAAAGTATGAACATAATTATTACAGTTAAATTCAGAAATTAAAAAATATATAAAAGGTGGATAAGATAATGCACTGGTCAGAGAATTATCTGTCAGAAGAGTTGTTAGGCCAAAACGTTCATAGAAATTCCTCTGCAAAGAAGGATATATTGTAGCTCCTCTTTTAAAAAAAATCTCAATGATTTTGCACATTATGTTGCACATAATGTTGTCTGACATAGTTGAAAGATGAAAGAGAACTAGCTTCTTTAATACTTATGTGCAAAAATTAAATTCACAAAAACACTATTATGCTATGAAGTCAGGTTTTTTTTAAAAAGTTAACCAGCATCTGATAGTATAAATAGTATAATTAATAATGTAATGCAGTGGATTATAGTTTTAAATTAATCTGTGCATAAATCTTTCACAGTTAATGTAGTGTAATCTTCATCAGATATAGTTATTATAATTACTTTAATAGGTACTTTTCTATTTTGCTGGCACAAATCTCACCAAGCAGACTTTGTTGGTGACAGCGTGCAGTATACACATAAAAAATGTTAACAAATGTTAGTTCTAAGAATTTTTTATTTTGAAGGCATAAACATTTTAGTATGGTTTAAAATTTTGTAAAAAGCCAATAAATAAAGACAACAAATTTGTAAAAAGACATTAATTTAAGAATTTACTATGCTTTCATGGTTCAACATCTTGATTCACAGGTTCATATCACGTGACCCCAAGTGATCTTATCTCACGTAAACTACGCTACAAAAATCTAACAGTAATTATCTACATTAATTTCAAGTTAAATCTTAAATTAAATCTTACAGAATACAAGTTTAAATGCAAGAATTATTTCAATTCGTACGAATAGCTTACTCAAAAATTATGTGAAACTGCAGTGCTTTACTTCGCTAGTGCATTCTCATTAGATTTGATGAATTTAACCCCTGATCTTGCCTTTTCTATACTTTCGCCTTCGAGTGAGTGGTGTGATTGCATCCTAATTAATTACCGTTAATGGTCTTAGGACATAAAATTTAACTAGTAAAAATTCTATGTAATTTTATGCCAGTATTGAAAGAAACAATCAATCTGATAAATGGCTGCGACTTATTTTGAAAATGAAGGGTAAAAGGTTACCAGCAAAGATATTCCGTTTGGCATCAGTTGTACCATTATTGGCGATTTTATCGTTTGTGCCGGCAAAACGAAAAAGTACCTTTAATACTATAATTATTTTTCCTCCTATCTCTCTTTTTTCCATACCTTCAGTCTGGGAAAAAAAGAGAAGTAAATGCAGAGCTCAGCACAGCAAGCAGCAAAGTTAAAATTGTGCAGTTAAAGAAGTGTTTATATTCTATTAATATCATTTTGTAACACACTGCAACATTCTACAACAGTTACAATTCCAGTATACAACCTAGAACACTTGTTCTATGAATTTTAACACAAATTACTTTACACTATAATTCTTAATTCAATATACATTCATGTCCACAATTATCTTTACATATCCAAAAATAATGATATTCCATGAAATATCAAGTTGATGTAATCCATTTTTTGCGGGGAATGAGTGAAAGACAAGCCTAATTGCTTTATTCAAAACAAAAGTAATCAACTGGTTTTTGATATGCATATCAAGGCATTGCATCTTCTGACAGTGAATCAAGTGCTGTGCGCAAAGTGAATATCTGAGCGAATTTCTGTGATGCAGCTTTTGGTTTCAGTGTTTAAGGACTAAAAACATTTGTTATAGCTCCAAAACATCATTTGAAACAATCTGAGAAGTGGTGAATTGTCAGCGGATTGTCGTATCGCAGCAAATTGTACAAACATTTAATGAAAAAGTTTTTCATGCCAGAAAGCCATGGATATGTGTTGTCTTGTTCCTCCAGTGGCTGAGTACTTAAGGCTGAGGAGTACTGGTAGTTTGACCTGATTTAGGTTCAATCCTAGACAAATGGGCTGTCTGCATGGTTGATTTTCATGGTTTTCCCCATCTGTAATGTGAACATAAGCTATTTCCCTTAGAAAGCCCTCCACGAAGGCATCCTTTTCTTAGGCAAATGGCTTTGGCATTTTTAAATAACCTAAGTTAACCTAACCTAACCATCACTGTCTTCACAGCAAAAGAGGGATTTCTTTAACTGGTCCAAAGAACATAAAAACTGGAGTGAACATCAATGGTCCCATGTTCTCTTTAGTGATAAGTCGAGGTTTAATTTAACATTTGATTCTAAATGTGTTTACATCTGAAGGGAGTCAGGAATGTGAAATTTTCCTTCGAACTATACAGAATGTGAGCATTTCAGTTGTGCAGGTATGATGGTATGAGGAAGAATAATGATTGATGGACATATGCTCTCACACGTTTTCAGCATCGGATCTGTGATCATCCAAAGATATTGAAATGAGGTCTTAGAATTTTAAGTAAGACTTTTAAAAGGTGTATATAAAGTCAACTTCATATATGCATATGGAGTTGACTTTTAATATAGGTATAATAATTCTTGTCCACACTGAGCAAACCTCATTGGACCTTGAAAAAGAGGACATTAAGCAAATATTCTGGCCACCAAAATCTCTTGATCTTAAACCAACAGAGAACTTAGGGGACTATCTATGAAAAGCAGTTACACAGAGAATTTGTCCTACAAGAGATGTTAATGCTCTACAGACCATACTGTCAGAGAAGTGGAGTTTAACTCCCAAAACTGTGATTAACAACATCAAAACACATTGTGATATGTATAAATCAAAAGAAATCACATCATCATCATCATCATCATCATTAATAGCCAGACAGCCCATTATGGGCCAATGCCTTCCTCAGAAGACTTTCCCATGATGACTCTTTGGTTATCTTTGATCTAAAAAATCCAAAGCCAGTAAACTAGCCTGTCTCAGCTACAGTATTCCCTGCTTTCGTGTTCCAGTGGGTTTAAAAACCAATATGCTTCTTATCAAATTGTCATTTTCCATTTAGACCACATAAGCCGCCAATTCATTTCATTAATTTTTATATATTTTAATATATCAGGTTCTTTATATATCTAATAAAGCTCAAAATTGTATCTCCTCCATAGATTATTTTCATTTATTCCATCAAGAATTTTTCTTTCAAAAGTTGCAATAATACGATTTTCCTCCAGTTTTGTCAAAGTCTCAGAAGCAACTAGTCTTTTGTAATTCAAAAACATTGTTTTTCTTGAACGAAATCCAGATTTGAAGAACTTTCTAAACATACAATAGCCAGATACAGCCAATTCTGAATTTCAGGAGATAATATATTATCAGTAGTAATAATAAATCCCAAACAGACAATGAAAAAGACATATATTTTGTTTTCTCCTCATTTATAATTAAGCTCATTCGACTTCCCACCAACCTAAAGTAGAAGAAAAGCTTGTCTTAGAGTAATTCAAAAATGTATGAAGTAATTCAAAAAAGAATATGAAGAGTCCTGGTAATCACATCATCATCATCTGCATATGCAAGTAGCTGTACCAGTCTAGAAAAAATATGTCCATTGAAATTGATGTTTGAATCAGGATAACTCTCTCGACTGCTATATTAAAAAGTAGACACGAGTGAAAATTTCCCTGTTATACTCCTCTAAACATGTCAAGATTTTCTGCCTGTCTCTAAATATGCCAAGACCTCAAAAATGCTGGTAGTCCAAATTTTAGATCACTCCAGATATCAGATGTCTAGACTTTATACTGTACAGCTGTTTTCAGTTCAGGAATGCTCTTTGGTGGAATTCTTGTGATGGATATGGCTGGTTTGCTGAATATCTTCTCTTCAAGAAGAATTAAAACCAGATGAGACTGATGAAGACATATATTATTAGTCATGATTGTAAAACATTGACTCATTTTGAAAAAGCCATACACAAAATTCCAGTAAGTGATTTCTTTTCTCATACTTTAAGAAATATCACCACTGTTCAGTATTGATCCGAACTCTGCTGTAAATGCACATATCTGTGCATAAGTGACAGATGAATTGTTTAATGTCAATCAGTTTCCTATAAAGGATAACTTTTGTGGCTATTGGCAGCTCTTTGAAATTTTTTGTAGACATTATCCTGAGTCATTATGCAGTTGATTTGATAATTTAACTCTTATATTAGTTTTTAACTAATATCTCTAGTATTTTGGAACCTTTCCCACTGTCAGATTATTACATATAATGACATGACCATATTCTAGAAATTTTTATCTGTTCCTGTCTTGATTTTTTTTCTTACTTGATGCCCAAGTCAGTTTCTGCTTAGCCATAATATACCACTATCATGTTCCTAAGAAATTGTTAGAAACTAGACTACTACATGTATATTATAAATGTTATAAAAGCTGTATGATAAGAAGCTAAAGTACAAAATATTTTACATACACTGAAATAAACATTTGTGTTCTCTTTTGCCTTTTCTTCCAAAATAGGTAACATTTGGATGAGCTCCGAGATTAAATTAGATGATCATCACTCAAATGCAAATTTCTGCTGCACTCTTGTATTAACCCTTTATTTAGTACATTTTACAAAATATACCCACTCTTTAAGATCTCAAAAGATATTAAAGCCATTATTAAAGTAAAAATCAAGATTATAATTTATCTTCAGTCTTTTTTTTTTTTTTTTTTTTTTTTTTTTTTTTTTTATGCTTAGCATTAAAATGAGATTACAAAACAGAATTAAGTATTCAGTTACAAAAAATAAAAGTATTATTTTAAAAAGTAAAGGTGGGTAATACAAATAATAATTATAATAATTACACTTTTTCTTGAAAAAGTAGATAAAACTACTATTAAAAAAAATACATACTTTGCTTTTCCTTCAGTATTATGTTTGGGAATAACTTCATGACCCAACACAGATTCCAGTATTTTAAGATTTTTTTTCATTTCATCATTTTCTTCTGAAAATAGCACAATAATTTAGTTAAAAACTTGTGATTATACATATTTAAAAAAACTGCTGATTTGATGGCAATCAGAGTTTGATGATAAGCAAAAGTAAAATTAGGCATTCTATAGCTGTTCTTATTTAATTTTGTAATATTCTTGCTTCATTCAATAAAGAGTTATTGTTAAAAAAATTGTAAAAATAGTTTGTTAAAGTTTACTTTTCCTGAAGACAATTTGAAGGAAATTCCTTTTAGGCATCCTTAGCGTAATACTTAAAATGCTGATTATTTCATAAGGATTATGTAAATTTTATTAACAATTAAATTTTGAGCTAAACTTCCTTTCCTATCGCTTCTTAATTTCAACTTACCACTTTCGGTCAGAACGTAGTTTTAGAATCACGTCTGAATGCTAATGAGGAAGAGTGGTATTTAACTGCGAATTTCTACTGTCTTAGTGAGAGAGATACCAGATATTCTGGCTAGCACGAGTCCGCCTTTTTAGGCTACTCTCTCGTAAGCTATTATTATGCTTGGCCGTACTTTAGGCCCTTGATAGCTTCGCAGTCAATTGGTGTTAAGGGGCCAACTCTGTTAGAATTTGGATAGCTTCTGCTATATTTCTTTAGTTAAGATTAGTTTAGTTTAATTCTTAGTCTCTTAAGTTGAAGCCCGAGTGTCGGCTTTATTGCACAACTCCAAGACAGAGTTCTGTTAAATCTTATTTGAATAATAAAGGGTCGTTTAACTCTTTCCAAGCTTATTCACTGTCTCGTGAACTCAAGCGATTATCCGCTTGCTAGTTCTTAAGATTCTTCACTTTTAACTGTAACTTAGAATTACACAGTGAGGAATCTTACAACTTGTTGATGCATTTAATTTTAGTTTCTGAGCTATTACAAAGACTTATTCTGATGCTTATAAAAAGATGGGTGAACTTAAAGAGATCTTTTAATGAATAAAATTCCTGCACAGAAAGCAAAATGAGAGAGGTTTAAATTTCAATTTTTTATTTAATTTCAAGAGAAATGTGAAAGCTGTTACAAAAGCAGTTTTGACCTGTTGAATATATAAATGCACAGTGTATTATGATGACATAAAATTAGTTGAATGAAAAGATGGTAATGGTGATTTTCTATTAGACATGACCATACTGCAGCTTGGAAGTCATTTGCAGTACTTCAGCTTTTGAATGAAGCTTGTGTTAATAAATAGTAATTTTATTTTTCATATCTAAATGTAATTTAGTAGAACATTCTGCAACACCTTTTAAAAGATTATATTTTGAGCATTTTCAGAATTAATTTCAATTCAAAATTTAATAAATATACATAAATAATTGTAAAGATAATTTTACAAAGAATTCATTATTTGTTACCATTTTAAAATGACAGCATTATTTGAAAAGTTACAAAGGAAATAACAGCAGAAAAAAATGATAATTAAACATTAAAATATTAAAACTGCTTTCTCAATCCACTATAGCTCACTCTGATTCTGAATTCTGCCTGTAAAAAAAATGATCATTTCTTACTTTAATACTTTAAAGTGATTGATTTGAAAACTTGATAGAATATCATTCACAATAAAGTATACATTATGTGATGAGAAATTATCTTGTTATCAGATTTCAATTAGGGTTATCATCAATGAACAGTTTGCAGATGCATAAACAATTCCAATTTAACTAGAAATTTGGAAGGCTGACAAAGGGAAGCCAAGGGAAGGGGAATATGATACAAAACGACCAAAAGTATTTTTTAATTGGCTAACAGGTACTGCTATGTTATTGTTATACTGTGCAGTACATTTCTTGAATCAATTCTTACACCCACTGCACTGTTTACTCTTTCTAAATCTGAACAGGAAGCCCACTTCAGTTTTCATGGCAAACTTAAAAGTGGCCTTTGGAAACTTTCTAAACTTACCTGTGCACAGCTTTGCACGATAAACACTTCTCTTCGTAAACAGAAAACATTCCTTTATAAATATCTTTAGCACAAAGTCCTTTTGCTTCCCCCCCCTCCCCGAAAAAAAGATAACAGCATATGCTGCTCCTCTTTTGTACAGTCATCGAGTTCCACCAACATTTTCAAACCGAACTACACACGTGCAACTAGTATTTAGTAATTAACTAAAAGAATATTATGAACTAATATGATTTTGCTACTTACTAACACACATGAGATATCATGACAATTTATGGTTTATTTACTGACTTTTCCTCAAATATCAATTACAATATTTAAACATATATATTATATATAAAAATACGATTCACTGTGTTTTTTTATCCAAATTAATTAAATTTGGATTAGGGAATTGGTGATTTCAAAAATATTTTATGACTTGAATAACACACTCAGTAACATTTGATATATTTAAATCTTTGGCCAATAAATTATGTATATGTGCTAAATAACCATTGGACATAAGCTTAAAATTGTTTTCTCATTTCATATTTAGTGTATTATTAGCCACAAAACTATGATTTTACAATTAACTTCATTTTCAACTTTTTTAATGCTATCAACAGCAAGGGTAAATAAATTTCCACTTGTACATAGTGTTAATGATGAACCAAGAGTTTTCACTTAATGTACAGTTCCATCTATTGAACAAATATTAATACAGATTACTGGTTGATTGTAGATATTAGACTAACCATTTAGCTCAAACATGCTGTTTGATTCATTAAAATATTACAGCATTTCTGTATTTCTGTCATTTGATAATTTATCGAAATTTACACCCAGGATGCAACATCTCTATTAATTTATGAAAAGGGGTTTTCTGTGCTACAAATGACGTCTTTGTAGTAGAAAAAAATTACCTACTTGATAATCTATCTTGTTCAAAATTTTAATATTATGTGTTACAACATTTTTACTTAGATCAGGCACCAATGTTTTGAAGCAGTGTACTCATCATCAGATTTACTCTTGAGGCTAAACAGACATGGAAGTGACCCATTTTCTCCTGTTGTATTAACATGGCCTATTTAATATATTTTGAAAAATCTTATTTATTTATATATTTTTTTATATTCAATAATTAGAATCTGTTTAAAAGCATTACAAGTTATCTCAATCTTTAATTTCTCATAATTCAAAAGAGAAAAGAAGGAAGAATGTCGGATTTTAATCAACAATTAAAAAAAAAAAAAATCTGCTATTGAAATCGTTGACCCAAGCTAGTTTTAAATGTGTCTGCTTGATCAAGTCAAAACAAGTATGACTTGTATGCTAATCTAATACTCATGCAAGTCAAAACTTATATGGGTATTAAACAAAGACTACAACCATTCAACATATTTTTACCAAACATGGCATGAATGTTCTTCAACAGTTTATAAAAAATACTGTGATCCCTTTTCCTACTAATCCTAGTCAGGGAGTGCCTCAAAAAATTATAAACAATCGCCGACTTTTTAACAATGAATTACAAATACTGCATGTTCTTTATATTTATTTGAGAGAAGCTAATGTGGAAAACAAGAACAGAAATAATAATTAACTAATAACATCATTTAAAGAGCAAACAATGAAACACATATTTTTGCAATTATTCTATGATTTGATTGCAATTATTATTAGGAAGAATGCCCACCAGTGGTCGAGTGTTCAAAACTGCTGAACAATGGTAGTTTGAGAAAGGTTCAGATTCCAGTGAAGGGCCAGTTGCAAGAGCGTTTTTGTGACTTTCTATATACGAAATATAAACAGCTTTGCATAAAAAGTCCTTCATAAAAACATCCATCCTCTCAGGCAGAGAGTCTGAGAGGATGGATGTCTCAAAATAAATAAAATTATTATTTTCAAAATAAATAATCATATTCAAAATAAATAAATTTTTAAAAAATGAATTTTTATGAAGAAATTTAATAGTGTCTTATAAATATTGTATACATTTTGAAAATTTATTTCCAGAGAACTATCATATTCATGTATCCAAATATTTATAAGCATTCATAGCTTCTTCAAAGAAGAAAGAATTCTAAAACTTTATTTGTGAACACAAAAGTTGTATAAGTGCTATTAGAAATGTTGTTTTTCCCCTTTATTAGCCACTAAAATAGTATTTTGAATATGAGATTTAGAAGAACTACATTGCTGGCAATTAAAATTGCTAGAGCAAAAACTCAGCAGTTAGCAAAAACTTACTTGCTTTATGAATACATTAAATGAAAGGATTAAAATGTCAATAATTTTGAGGTACAGAACGTGAAGAAATTAGTATCCTCTACCTTTGGTAACAATAGTAGCTTTTATATGACTCAGTATAGAATTGAACAGACTCTGGATCGCAGTTAGAAGTATTGCAATATTACACACTGGCTGATAGCGTTGCTGCAACCACTGACCAGACTTCTCAACTGGTGAGAGATCTAGCAAATACGTTGGCAGAAGCAAGACTTAAACACCTTAAACATAACACACCATTAGGTATAATATTCTAGTAATACCGAATCAAAGCATGAATGATGCAGGTTGACACACTGAGTAGAATCTTGTTACGGTCATCACTCGAGATAGACATATTTTCAAAATATAAAATGCTCAAAAGCAAGATGATGACATTTGAGCTATCAAAGAAGTCTTTAAACCTGATGATGATTATTGTGTTAAAATATGTACTTTACAAATCTGTATATGGTGATGAATTACTTTTTGTTCCAGTATCAATACAAACCAATGTAACCACGGACACAGATCTTTGATGATATCTCGCTTCTAAAAGAACTGAACAAATCATTAAACACCAATTTTATAACTTAGAGGAAATTGGTAACCAGAGGCGTAGCTAGGGTTTACAGCACCCGAGGACAATTGAAGATTTTGCATCCTCTTCCTTGTGCCAAGAATGGAAAACATTTCATTCTAAAACTCTTTAATTACAATTTGGCGCCCTTTCGTTGTTGCGCCTGGGGACTGTTGGTAACTACTATATTGCAAATTGTGTTGCTTGCATATTAATCATAAATATGGTAAGCAAAAAGCATTCTATATCCA